TTTTACAAAATATCACTAATCTGTTATATGCTAGAAAAACAAATAACACAAGCTGTTGTCACAAACAGGAATATCTAGCTCTTGGGTAACTGTGCAGCGGAAACTCGGCAGTCTCTTTATCGCCATAACAAATACCCTCAAGTTAGATATTCTGGTCTGGACCAGCAGCCGGAGTAAATTCCTTATAAGCTAACGTCGGATGTTACAAACTTGAAGCAACAGAACTTAGGCACTTGACACAATGCTGGTAATATGAGTGTTAGTGGGGACAATGTTAGTGATATTATAGGTAGTTGGGACAATGCTGGTGATATTATAATTAGTTGGGAAAATGCTGGTATTTTAAGGGTTAGAGGGGACAATACTGGTGATATTATAGTTAGTGAGGACTATGCTGATTGTGTAATTGCTGAGGATGACAATGCTGGTGATAAAAGTGTGAATAATGACAATACTGGTGATAAAAGTGTGAATGATGACAATACTGGTGATAAAAGTGTGAATGATGACAATGCTGGTGATAAAAGTGTGAATGATGACAATGCTGGTGATAAAAGTGTGAATGATGATAATGCTGGTGATAAAAGTGTGAATGATGATAATGCTGGTGATAAAAGTGTGAATGATGACAATACTGGTGATAAAAGTGTGAATGATGACAATGCTGGTGATAAAAGTGTGAATGATGACAATGCTGGTGATAAAAGTGTGAATGATGACAATGCTGGTGATAAAAGTGTGAATGATGATAATGCTGGTGATAAAAGTGTGAATGGTGACAATACCTGTGATAAAAGTATGAATGATGACAATGCTGATGTAATGATGTCTGGTGGCAATGCTGTTTATATGGTTGGTGCGAAGATAATGGTGGTGAGATGAGTACTCAGAAGAGTAATGTTGGTGTAATAAGGGCTAGTGGAGACAATGCTGTTTATATAAGAGCTGAGGATGATGATGGTGAAAAAAGGCTATTAATTATTTTGAAGGTGAAATTAGGGTTTTTGATATCATTATGCTGGTGATGAGTGATGGCAAGTGGAGAATGGCTAAAATGATAGTCTATGTAATATATAAAATTTCATAAAATGGGAAAAATATTAGATAAAAACTTTTTTTTTTAAAAAGGTAAGAATGACAATAGATAAAAGAGCAATGTAATGAATTACTGTAATAGGAATGTGGGAAAAATTATGTTTAAAAACCTGACAAAAAAATTGAGTTTAACGGATGATGACAAAGGAAGGTGGACAAAGCTATAGATACAAGTGCCATGACAAGTTAAATTACAAAGATAGGCAAAAGTTTTTTCTTTGGCAACTTGGAGAGATAACCTTAATTTATGCAAAATGTTCCTAAAGTTAACATTTTTTTTGAAATTCTGACTACATAGATAAATTTGAAAATATAAATGCAGATCCAATAGGCAAACATAAGGTTCATTTTGAATAACATTGCCTGTATTTTTAGAGTTGTGAGTTTATATACATGCTTCTATTTTCCAGTTATGAGTATGTGCTTCAATTTTAATGTTTGAATAATGCTTTTCGGAACTAAAACTTGATAACTAGATTTTTTTATATATATATTTATTTGATAAAACAGCTGACTTTTAAAATTGTCTGATTTCTAGTATAATATGCAAATAATTTTGTATTAATTAACATGTCGGTTTCCGTAGAAAAGTTGTTTTCTTTTAAAAACATGCTAAAATATGGTTAAAGTTACAGCTGTTTTCTATTATATCATCCTATTTTTTTCAAAAATAGCACTTTTTGATTATTCTTTTGGCCTTATTGGACCCATTTTGTAAATGCAACATAGAGCTAAGTCAAGTTAGACCAGTTTTGCTGAAAATTTACTAGTATCATTGAACTTTGGTGATTTATAGATGGAACACTGATCTAACTCATATCTTTTCAAACATCTTTTTTATTTAACAATATCATTTATGAAACTCCTTTTAACTAAAATTTTAACTTATATGGATATAAAAATCTAAAAATAATAACAAAAATGTCTAATTTATAGAATTTATGAAGTTTTTATAGTCTCCTTGAAAGTTTGTAAAAATCAAGTTAGACCAGTGTTGCGTTCAGCCATCGATATTTATCTAGCTCGATTATGAAACGAGTTTTTGCAACTTATATAAATCACTTTCCAGTCCACTTCCTGGTACCAGTGTCATATGAGAAAAAAAATGATCGTGACTTGAGTAGGGCTCGAACACATGATCCCTGGGTTGAGGGGCAGACACCTTATAATAAACCACTAGGCAAGCGCTCCTCTTGTTAGTTTTTCGTTAATTGACGACGTTAGCTTACGTAAGCTGTAAACGTTGGAAATGTGCATCCAATTTCGAAAATGTATTTTGGTCGTCGTCGTTATCGTCGAAGCTGAAGGTGTAGTCGTGGTTGTAGTTATAATCGTCAGTCAGTCAAAGTCGTCGTCATCATTGCAGTTGTTTCCGTACTTGTCGCAGTTTTAGTTGAAGTCACTGAAGTTGAAGTGGACGTCGCCGAAGGTGTCGTTGTGAAAGCAATTATGGTAGTAATCTTGGTCGCAGATGATGTCGAATCAGTATTCGTAGAAGTACTAGTCGTAGTTGTAATTTCAAAATTAGATACAAATGTGTAGCAGTCATATTCGATGTCGCTGAAGCGTTGATCGTACTCGCAGTCGTCGATGCAGTCATAATCGTATTCACCTATTTGTAGTCGTAGATGTCGTAGTAATGGTTATAGTCGTCGAAGCTTAGAGTGTTGGCGTCATAACAGCACTTGACATTGTATGACTTTGTGGTCGTTGTCTTAGTCATAAGATCGTCAAAGTCGTAGATTTCAAAGTCGTAACCGTACTCGAAATATTTAAGTCTTTGTACCTGCAGTCGCCCTGTAATTTGAAGCTGTATTGGTAATCGTATATGTCTAGAATACTTGTGGCCGCCGTCATCGTCGTAGTATTAAACGACTAGTCGTCGTGAAAGTAATGATCGAAGTTTGACTGTAGCAGTCGTAGATCTTGACAAAGTCTTTAAAGTCGTTATCGTAAAAGTCGTAGTAGTTAGTCGCAGTCATGGTTTCAGTTAAGTTGCCGACCTATCCTTTGAATTCGTGGTCGTTGCTGAAGTCGTATACGTCAAAGTCGTTTCTTGTTGAAGTCGTCTTTAACTCTTTATCCTCAGGGTCAGAGTCGTACTTGTAGTTATATCATTCGTAGCCGAAGAAATGGTCGCAGTTTGTGGCGAATTCATAAAGTCGTAGGGAGTCGTATAAGTTGTAGTCGTTATCGTAGTCATAGCTGTACTCGTAGTCATGAATGGTATAGAAGACGTAGTCGTGGTCATGATCGAAGTCGTAGTGATCGGAGCCGAATTAAAAGTCGCAAAAATATAGACGTGGTCTTTGTCATTGTCGTGGTCGAAGTTGTTCAGACTATCACAAGTTTAGTCATCTAACAGAATGAGCTACTAGTTTATGAGACATATAATTGAATATAGAAATTATAATTCATTTTAAATTTCAACCCCTAGATATAACAAATAAAATAAACTATCCTCTACTTTTATAATTCGCCTACTTCATTCCATATCTTTAGTAAACTGCAAGATTATACTTTTAACTCTCTCTGAAATTCATTTTATTGATGTAATTCTTATGAACCCAAGGTGTTGTCGTGTGTCTGATGATTAAAATTGGGTATGTATAATAATGTACCTGCGATACACACCCTGGGGTCCAAATCTGACCCCAAAATGCGTTGCGCACTATGGGGTTGGACCTCATAGTACGTAACGCACTTTGGGGTTGGACCCGAAAGTGCGTTTGACCCCAAAGTGCGGTGTAACACTGCGTGTCAGAGGACATTTTCATCTGGACTTTTATATTTTTCGAAAAGTTAAAAATCAAAATAGGGATAAGAGACACGAGTTATGGAGGAAACATCTTAAGTGGGTTTGGATGGCGGAGCATTCATCACCATGACGAAACTTCCTGTAAAACATACTCATGCCATTAAATCGTATTTTCATGTGTTGATAAATCAACGTTTAATAGTGCCAATTCGGACTGAGATGCCTTGAAGGCGATGGTCTGTATGCAATGGCATGCAAAAACGGCTGTTGTTCTCACGATGTATGTAAAGATCTATATAAAGGGCGTGGGAGCCAATGATAGGGCAATATTTTAACTGCATTTTTCACATACAAACATTATAAAAAGCCGACACTGCTGCAAAATTGGAAGTGCAGTGAGCTAAATTTCTAACTAAAACGTCAAACTCAATCACCCGTCTACCTTTTCTCCACCCACCTGCCGATCCCTTCTGTCGGTGTTCATAAATTGGACAATTACCAATTTGGCACTTACAAATGCTCAATACGTGAGGATAATTATGATCCACAAGGAGATTAGGTTCATTTCTCAACTTGCGTTTGTTCTTACTTTCATTTTCACTTCTGCGTTCTATTTTATGAAATCGTGACGTCATTTAGGGCTTTCCCAACCTGGTTTCTCAGCAACGGGGTTTTTACGAATTATCCGTTTACTAACAACATATTCTTTTTGATAATGTCATTTTCATTTTATCAAAAACTTAAATTCTATTTGTACTGGATATAAATATACGGATAATTTATTCAATAAATCTGTTTTCGGAAACGGGCGAAAGGTAACGGATGTGCCGATAAGTTACGTAGAATGCCGACATGGCACGGAAAAACCCGATTCTATTACAGGGATCTTACATTAATAATAACACACATACAGGTACATTCTTTTCCTGAAGGTGGCCCGACCCGACTTCGATAAAAAAGAATGACATTTCTTTTCAAAAGCCAATTGTTCTTTTTTTAAAAATATGACACATCGAGGCCTACACAATTAGTTTACGTGTAAGTACTTAAGTTTTGCATGTTGATGGAATTTGCACCCATTATGCATGATCTAGATGAGTTGTTTATGTATTTTGAAGTTAAAATTTAAGTCTGAATAATAGGCCAATGTATTCTGTCCACGGGTACATATTGTGTATATATATAGATATCACGCATCCGCCCACTTAACAAGTTATTGTAACTGAAAGTAATAATTAACCGAAATGCGCAGTTCTTCCTTTTATCTTAAATACGAGATATTTTTGTGAAGTAACGGTGATGGAGATACATGATTGTGTTTTAATTGTTTTTCTCCTGGGCTTTGGAGTTGATTTTTCTACTCAAAACACAGTAAGTGTTTCATAGTTATATTTTAATTATTTTTATGACATATTAGGAAGTAAATGAATGAATGAATGAATGAATAAATCCATACTTTAAATAAATGGCAACCAATCCAGCTCACACGACATATCATTGATTAATAACTGCATTCCCTTAAATATCTATCCTTTATACATTTGGTTCCCTAAAGTACATACAAGTTAACAGCAAACAAAATAGTTTTACATATTAATGAAAAGGATAAGAATGAAAGACGAATGTTAAAGAAATTCTCCTCTTTTATAGTTGTTGTTGGCTTTAAGTAACATTTGAGCCGCGTCATGACAAAACCAACATAATGGGTTTGCGACCAGCATGGATCCAGACCAGCCTGCGCATCCGCGCAGTCTGATCAGGATCCATGCTGTTCGCTTACAAACCCTATTTCAAGTAGAGAAACTGATAACGAACAGCATGGATTCTGATCAGACTGCCCGGATGCGCAGGCGGGTCTGGATCTATGCTGCTCGCAAACCCACTATGCTGGTTTTGTCGTGACGCGGCTCATTTAATGTTTCTTTACTCAGCAGAAAATTCAGCCCGAATTGAGCGAAAAGAAATGCTATATCAAAGAAATTGAATCTTTTAACCCGAATGACTGCTCTGGAGTAGAAGAGGGTGGACACACGGTTAGACATCAAGGGGGGTGCATTGTTGATGGTGATCAGACCCTCACATGTGTACATGGCCATTGGTCTGGGGCAGACAGTTCAGTCGGTATGAAATATACTTTATTTTGATAAAAGACACAAATGATGATCATGTAAAATGCTTATTCTTATCTTATTGATAACACACAAAATCAAAGGGCTGCAAGCTCTGTGGTATTTTCTGATCTTTGCAATCTAAATCGTACTGTATATCTGTAAGTGTTTTCCTGTATAAGTTTTTTTTTGGCGTCCGCGCCGAAGCGCGGCGCCTCTTATGGAAAGAAATCAGATTTTATGAAAGGGCGACAGCAACTTCTCGAGCCTTTTAGTCGGACATAATAAAAGCCGATCATTCCGATCAGTATGAGGGTGCTTGATTATTAATTAAAAATGAAATGTCGCAATATATACAATGAATAGCGAACTGGAGAATTTCGCAATGCAAATATTTTCAAATGAAATAACCTTTTCCGTCAATAAATCGCGCTCTTCGGGGTATTTTATTTATAATTTTTTAGTACACAGTGGGTTATTATGGTACATGTATCCGAAAGCTGAATAGAATGATGAGTTGATTTCCTAAATATTCCGAAAATCTATTTATAGAGGGATGTACTCCTATCGGTAATTCCCGGTCTCTCCTGGTCTATTTTGACCGGGATTTACTAGTGACCGGTATTAAAATAGCACATAAAACACAAAAAAGAAAAGAAAACAGTATTCATAAAATCTGTTTTTTTTTTAAATTAAAATAGATATTACAATTATTGTATAATAAACAATTATGCTCAACATGATCAACATGGTAATGTAACCAGTGTCATATTGTTAGTAAGTGTGAACAGATACCTTTAGAGGGGGTCTTCGCTTATAGCGATAACATAATAAGGGACAATTACACAAGTGTGGTGTTGATCATGCATTACACATATGGATTATAAATGATTGTACACATGTATATCCGTTGCTATTAATAACCACGATCAAGTAATATTCTAATCTCTAGCATGCCAATCAAAGTCAGTGTAGCAATACCACGTGACTATGACGTCATTTTCGCCATCATTTCCAAGACAAATATTGCTCGATTCGGAAAAGAAAATAGCCGTAAATATTTTATTTCTGTACCAATTTCTTTGGGATATGCACCAGTCTACGGGGGATAATATAAGCTTTCCATAGAATATTGAATCTTCGTCAGTTTATAAGCCGTTTTATCAAACACTTTGCATAACATTGGAAGTTGCTTGTATTAGAGCGGGCTTCATTTGCAAGCTTTTTCGTTTTCTGGCGTTCCATGATTAATAGGTCAGGTTTACATCAACCGGGAGTACGGAAGGCAAAACTCTACGTAAATATGTTCATATTTTTTATTATGAATGACATAAATCGTACATTTTTCTTCAATTGTCAATTTTGGCACCAGTTCCAAGTCGAAAAAAGGACTACAGTTTAAAGCAGATTTTAGAATCCGTTGCAAATGCGAAGCAACATGCCTACCGTTCTCTTTTTACAATTTAGTTTTTCATTGTTGATCTTTCTTAGAGAGACTGTGAAAAAAAAACTGATTGTTCCTTAGGCAATAACACTTACTTTCATCGCAACAGTGCACGTGGAGTCCTGTGGAAAATAATATTTTGGTTTCGTTTTGAAAATGTTTAAAGTATTGCTCATCTTATCCTATGTAGTAAAATGTGTTTTATTCTATTTCACAATGGCGAAATTGATAAGAAATATATGTGCTCTCAGTGAGAGAAAGAGTAAAAAAAAACACTTTTGTATGCTACGGAAAGGGTTACACTTTAACGCGAGTGTTGTAAAGCTATAGGTTATTTTTTCGGTCTATTTTTGTAAAAAGTAACTGACAAACACTGACACTCGTGAATGTGACAAATAGGTTCTTCTGTCCTCAAAAGAGAGACTTTTAAAAGGTACATATTTTTTCTGGAATTGTCGTATAATAAATTTCTATAGAGTTTGATTAACGAAATCACAATTTGAAGTACTATGCACATGTATCGGTATTTAAATCATGAATCTAATTGCCACGTGCATTAACATGACGTTGACATTTTATGCTTATTAAACTATTAGCACTTTCATCATCAGTCATATTTTGTTCTTTGTGTCGAACAAATTTAAATATCATTACATATAACTTGGAACCTTGTCGTGTAAATCTGATAGTATTGTTACTTAGTTGCATTACTTATGATTCTCTATTTATCAAAAAGACCCAAAATAGCCATGAATAAGAACGAGAATGGACGCCATGTGGAGTAAACAAAGTAGAAAATAGTAAACAGATAAATGATTTTACAAACCAACAGCCATCGATCACAGTCAAATTTCTTGAAACAAAACATTCAAAAACACGGAAATAACAATAAGTATCATTAATTATATAAATATTTACATTAACATCTGTAATAGCAACACCGGCAAGATCTATGACTGGGGTCTATATGACACTGATGCGTCCATTGAATAATTGATAGCTAACATAAGCTAAGTAAAATTACGATTACATTTGAAAAGTATATTCAATTTTTATTCTTCAACTGTCAAATGACTTACTTCTTTATTTACATAAAGATAATTCACTTATTTGGTATATGCATCATGTTTATCATGTTTTAGATTTTAATGTGCGATCCTTTTTTAAATCTTAAAATGCTACAAAAATCCTGTTGAGGACATCTGCAGGTCATGCCGCGTGCAATAATCCATGCATTTACAGCCAGTGACCACATCGATAAGAAATAGTCCCAAATAGCCCTATCTGTTAAAAAGTTCTACTCGATTTAAATGTTTTCAAACCATAAATATTCCGTTCCCTCCCTCTCTTTACAATGTATATTGATGAGCTCTCTGATAAAGCTGAGTTGACTGATATAATTAACTAAATTTGTCAGATATGCAGTTTATCAACAGAAATAAATGCAATTATAAAATAGATAGTGTTTAATAGTGTTCTTAAGTGAACGAAGTTATATCCAGTTCACGAAAAACGGTTACCGTGGGTATGAAAACAGGACGTAAAAATATATTTCATCAACGAGTGCCACTGTGTTAAAAAGCTGAATCTATCATACTAAAACATTGCTACAGGTTTTTTTTTATATATCTATGGTTATACGTATAAATAACTCTTTACAAAAGAATAACCTTTGACTTTAAAATTGCCGCGTTGAGGCGTAACCCTTTTCACAGCATACAAATCGAAGTGATCCTGAATGTGCACGTTAATTGGACAGGCTAGCTAAGTCAATCCAAGCCTGCAACATTTTCAATTTTGCCGTTTTGGGCGATATTTAGGGTTTCTGTTTTCTCTCTGTTTCGAATATTCCACGATTAGTATTGCTACATGACACAAATAGATGTTTCAGAATAATTACCGTGAAAGAACAATGATTAAAGAGCAAATCAATTTCTTTACAAATACTGACAACATCTTTACGACTTTTAAAATCACTTATAGCGCAGCGAGTAAAAATCATTTAAATATTCATTTGTGTTTATGTAAATCGTTTAGTAAATAAAATGTTTTCATAGTTTACATAATTATAGAAAGAGAACGGTAGGCATGTTGCTTTGCATTTGCAACGGATTCTAAAATCTGCTTTAAACTGTAGTCCTTTTTTTCGACTTGGAACTGGTGCCAGAATTGACAATTGAAGAAAAAGGCAAGATTTACGCCATAAATAATAAACATATAAACATATTAAGGTATAATTTTGCTGTCTGTACCCCCGGTTGATGTAAACCTGACCTATTAATCATGGCGTAGACCAAATAACGCCAGAAAACGAAATAGCTTGCAACTGAAGCCCGCTCTAATACAAGCAACTTCCAAGGTTATGCAAAGTGTTTGATAAAACGGCTTATAAACTGACAAAGATCCATATTCTGTGGAAAGCTTATATTTTTCCCTGTAGACTGGTGCATATCCCAAAGAAATTGGTACAGAAATAAAATATTTACGGCTATTTTCTTTTCCGAAACGAGCAACATTTGTCTTGGAAATGATGCCGAAAATGACGTCAATGTCACGTGGTATTGCTACACTGAAAGTTATAATGAACAATGTCTTTCGTCCGATCATTCATAAGTGATATACAATTCTGGTAAAAACCAATTAACCATTGAAAAATTTATAATCATATAGCTACTAGCTCATCTTCACCTGCTGCATTTCTTGCTTGGTCGCCCTTTGATGCTTTGCATCAATGCTTTTCTTGTTATGTACTATTATTCATCTTGCAGGGCACCAGAGTTTGATACATACGGAATTTTGCATAACTAGAGTTGCATCAAAAATCATTTATGTTCATTTTTTATGATAGCCACACTTTATCCTTGCATATCGTGGCTATTTCCTTGACAAAGACACTAAAAAAAAGAATTAAAAAAATGTTGAGTCGACTGGGATTTGAACTCCAGACCTCTCACACACTAAACGAGCGCGTTACCCCTGCACCACGGAGAAGTTATAAAAAGTTGTAAAGGCTGAATAAAATCAAGTCATTCTAAATTTAGAATTTCCATTGCATTTCGGGTTTTTAAAGCAGCACAGGCTGAATAAAATCAAGTCATTCTAAATTTAGAATTTCCATTGCATTTTGGGTTAGGGTAATTTCGAGGTATTTTGTTTAGGGTAAACCTGTTGTTTAAAATTGAAGTAAATAATTTAGCAAAAATCTTCTCGCCCAAACAGTCCAACATGTAGAAACTAAATATTCAACTATTCGGCAGTCAGATTTATTTGTGTAGTATTCGGTAATCGACGTCGCTAAAAATAGCATTTTCATTGATTAAAATCATATTTGTGAGTGTGCATTTATTGACAATTCTATAAGCTAACGCTACTTTTAAAGTTTGAATGTGTAGTAATTTGTTGGACACTTGTAACAAAAAATTGTTCTTTCTTTTAAATTGCTGGTTTTTAAGCAGTTTTGAGTGAGAACTACTTTGCGTTGTTAGGTCTGTTAGGAAATTTTGTGTTAGACCGTGGATGTTAGCTATGTTGCGATCAGAAAATACAATAAACTGCTGGAAAACATTTTT